TACCTGCCTACGAGCGGTTATACGGTCATTATCAGACACCCTGTATATGCCATGAGTATAAGCTCTATGGCTTTGCTTGTTCTGCTTGCTCAGGCAGGCTGCTTCAGCGCCGCCTGTTCGATTATCGCTGTAATTACTATCGATATAGCTAGGTCGATTATCGCATGCTTATGACCAAGAAAGAGGTCGCTGATTGTGATTAATTCAGTAAATTTCCTACAGTTTTGAACGTTTTGAAACGCTCGCAGCATTCAGCAACAAGTGGAAGTAATGCGCACAACATTAGCAAGCATTTACTCGCTGCTTTGTGCGCATCCTTTCCACCGCTATAGCATGCTGCAAGCGTCTCAAAACTGACATCTCTGTCCGGTGCCCTTATGGGCCATAAGGGCACCAGTAGTAACCATCTCTGCCGCTAGCCACAATTGCACCCTAACCACTCCAAACTGAAATTCCGGCGTGAAACTGTATCCGTTACATTACGTTATCATTTGAAGTATTTTGTAAGATCTGCAAGCTCTTGTTCTACGCTTTTTTTCACCGACAATTTTGGTGTCTATAAGGAACAGAAAAGAAAANTAATTTTATATACCTAACATCTTGTGCGCGTGGTATTGAAGGACCATGGAACTTGTTACAACAATTTTGCCGGTTTTGCGACAACGCGGAATAATTGCGCGTTTTTTTTCCAAAAAATGGTCGCTTACGTTCCATCAGCCGGAACTAACGCGCAAATCGTCGCTTTTAAGCACGGAATATTCGGGTGGAAATTCGGAATTGCAGCTCGCGAGATATCCAAACCGACGTCAGTTTCTTTCCATGTATCCAGTTGGGACAAGACTTTTCTCGAAAAGATATATTTCCAGGTAAACTTGATCAAAGTTTGCTCACTTTTTTTTTTTTTACAAGTGGCTCATTTTCTTTTGTATTTTTTAAATATTTGATATTTTTTATTTTTTTCCAATTTTTTGAGAAAAACTATAAATTTAGTATACAGTTTACGACATATATCTGATGTAAATGTCCAAAAAGAGCATTGTTTCTTATTTTGTTTATGTTGGTTATTTTTCAGCAATAGATATCAACCTCCAGAACATACCAGCTCTTTGCCATTGCAGCCTGATGAAAGACCTGCAAAAGATGAAGATGATGAGAAAAGGATAATACAAGAAAGAATACGTAGTAAATCAATACAATCAACGATTCCTGAAGGAAATATTTTACCTGATTATAGAGAATTTCCTGTAATAAGACCTTGTTGTAATTCTAGAGTATTTCCTAGAATAAGACCTTGTTGTGTACCTACATTGTATCCTGGAATAAGACCTTGTTGTTGTGATCCTGGGCTATGTCGTAGAGAAAACACATTACGTGGTCGCCGAAAATGGAACAGGCCAAAAAAACCTGACCAGATTTGGTAATAAAGTATCTTTTATTCACCTTTTGCTCAATTTACTTTTATCTAGAAGTAAGTTGATTTGATATTACATTTATACAATAACACAGTCTTTATGGAATAAAGAAGATGTATTACACAGAAATATTGTCTAATTTATATTTTTTACCCGTAAAATGATTTTTTAATGATTTGTATCATGTTTTTTTCCTTATATCTCGGTGTTGTACAATTTTCTATGAAACAATTATATGACCTTTATTACTTTTTTTAATAGAAATTTTTACCACTTGCATTTTAAGATATTTTATCATTATCAATAATATCATGTATTGTTTCCAAGATTATTAATCTCGGAAAAGCGTTTCACGTTGTCGTACGCAAAAAGCGCGCAACGTAACGTGAACATGCCTTGTCTGTCATCTTGTTGAGCCGGCTTGAAGTGGATAGAAAACGGAACATAACACGGACACGATTTCGTTTGTGTGCGTGCCTCCATCACCGTTGCTCTCGATGGTTGGCAGTTCTACTTATCGACAGTACAGTGGATGTAGCACGGATTCAAACCGAATGAAAGTGAATTTAGCACAGACTCTAACCGAGATACATTTTTATCGTACGCGCCTGAAAGTGGTACTCGTTTCGTAGTTCGCGAGTTCCACGCAAAGTATCAGTCTTTTCTCTGATATGGCTAAGGTCGGTATATGTATGTGCGACCGGCCCATTGGTCTCGCGGTCTGAGTGCAGGAGCTGCGAATCTGGAGGTCCCGAGTTCGAATCCGCTCACCACCTAAGGATTTTTTCCGGGCCGGTCCCTTTCAACCGGGTTTATCGGTTGATCGGCGAACTTAATCGGGCCTCCAATAATTAATTCGGGTGTAATCCCGAATTAATTCCCCCTCCCACAAGGCGATCATAGTCACAACACCTCGAACACGAGCCCGACACAGTTGGGCACGCCCACTGTGAAAGAAGAAGGCTGTGTATCGCGTGGTAGTAGTAGTGAATCCGCGACAGTAAGATTTGATCAATGACATTAGCGCAGCGTCTTGTATTCTAATTTGGTCAGTGCTGAGACCAGATTCTGTGTGGGCTTGTGGAACTAAATATTGTTTTGCAATCATAAGTTTGTCCTCGACCATATAATCCAACATATCGATTATCTTCATAAGACCGGCCCAGTGGTCTCGCGGCCTGAGTGCAGGGGCTGCGAACCCGGAGGTCTCGAGTTCGAATCCGCTCACCATCTAAGGATTTTTTCCGGGCCGGTCCCTTTCAATCGAGTTTATCGATTGATCGGTGAACTAAATCGAGACTCCAAAAATTAATTCGAGTGTAATCTCGAATTAATCTACCTCCCAGAAGGCGATCACAGTCACAACAGCTTGAACACGAGCCAGACACAGATGGGTATACCCACTGTGAAAGAAGAAGGCTGTGTATCGCGTGGTAGTTAGTAGTGTACTGCACAACCCTCCCATGAAAGAGTATAAGAATTCAATTGATTTTCGATATAAATGTGTCTTAATAGCCTACTTGAGCTAAAGGCACGTTAAATATCTCTACAAAAAAAAAGAAAAAAAAATATGTGATACGCACTTGAACTGGCTATTGTCAGTTTCGGATGATAAATCTGCCAGTTCTTTGTATTACATCCATTGCTACTTTAGGGATGATTTTATTTTTTATTCTTTTTCTATAATTTTCTACTATTTCATTTATATTATTTTTTTGTTTTTTTTCTTTATCACTAAAACACAAACATGAAATGTGAAACAGTGCTTTTTTAAATATTTACGTTTTATTTATATAATCAGAGAGAAGCGGTCGGCCGTCTTTCACAGTAGGCGTGCCTATCTGTGTCGGGCTCGTGCTCAGATTGTTGTGACTTGTGATCCCGCCTTGTTGGAGAGAGAATTAATTCGAGATTACACTCGAATTAATTTTTGGAGTCTCGATTTAGTTAACCGATCAATCGATAAACTCGATTGAAAGGGACCGACCCGGAAAAAATCCTTAGGTGGTGAGCGGATTCGAACTCGGGACCTCCAGGTTCGCAGTTCCTGCACTCAGGCCGCGAGACCACTGGGCCGGTCTGCGAAAGTATTTAATAAAATGTTATAAAACAAGATGCGTGCAAAAATGTCTTTTACGGCCGATGAAATTATGTCGACAGAGAGGAAAGTAGTAGTAATATTTATTTATTATTATTTTTTAGATGATGTGCAAACATATTCCGCCACAAAGAAGAAAAATGCGTATACAGAAAACGTTCATGCTCCAAACGAAATTCAACTTCTCGGCGCTCTTTCGAATTTTCCTGCCTTCTCCGCGGCTTACAACTGCTCTGTGAAAAAGCCAATAAATCCAGAAAGAAAATGTGCTTTTTGATAGAAGATCGATGAAGTATTGTGCTTTTATGTAGACACAAAAGTATGACGTTTTTTTTAAACAACGTATTTTAATTAGATTTAATTTTATGTTTGACAATCACGTTATAGAAATCTATTACAATTTTTAAACATGTTATATAATAAAAGACTCATTGACAAGATAGTTTTGAGTGGTTTCTGCATCACTAAAGTGTTTCACGAAATCATTTTGTTTAGCAACATTCGATAATCGAGATGTCTTGCAGTTCTTAATTTATATAGACTGCGTTCCGAGTTACGCATATGCGCGCATTTATCTATAGTACACGTCACGTATAGTATAGATAAATGCGCGCATATGCGTAACTCGGAACGCAGCCGTAGAAGTATTGGGTGCGTTCAGACAACTCAACAGTTGAGAGATCATCACTTATGATAGGATTATTCTTCAAAATCTAATGCGGTTCCAAAAGTATGATCCAATCAGAAGTGAATATCTCTCAACCGTTGTGCAACTGTTGAGTTGTCTGAACGCACCCATTATATATATATGGGGCACGCACACGAGCAAAGCTGCGTTCCGTTTCATGCATTTGCGCGCATTTGTCTATACTATACGTGACGTGTACTATAGATAAATGCGCGCATATGCGTGAAACGGAACGCACTCCAAGAATCGTCGTCTGTGATTGGCGGTTCTCGCTCGTGCGCGTGCCCCCACCGCTTCGATTGGCTTCGATACTCTTAGGTCTGTTCTTTTTCCATACATTGGCTGCACTAGTTCACAGTCTATCTTTTTTTTATCTATATTCAAAGGAAGAAGATAGACTGTGAACTAATGCAGCCAAAGTGTGGAAAAAGAACAGACCTCTTGTTGCTGCGAGCACGATCTTTCATCACCGATTACCTTGGCGCAGAGGTTACTTTTGATCAGGCATAGGCAAAGTGTGGTCAGCTTTGATGCAGAAGAGATAAAAAAACGTAAGAAAAAATTAGTAATAAGAACGTAAAGAAATAAGTAATAACAAATAACGATATGTCACGAAATAAGAGAAATAAGGATTTTGTAAAGTTTCGAACACTAATATATGATAATTTTATTTCAGTTAGTTTTCTCAATTTTAATACTTATTGTGCATTTCTTGTCAATTATAGTTTGAATTTCATATATTTAACATATACTTAAGTCATGTACTAATTTCTTTGATTATTTGTTTGAACGTAAACATTGTAAACTTTGATAAATCTTCTCTTCGTATAATTATTGAGTATACCGTTTATGTATCTAAGGGGCAAAGTTTAGATATAAATCAGAGATTTTTAACTAGTTACGTTCAGAAAATAGTTGAGAGATTATCACTTGTAATTGTACTAGATTATAATTTTGTGATAATTTTTGAGAATTAGTTTTATCATNAGTGAGAATCTTTCAACCATTGTATACCTGTTGAGTTTTCTGAACATGTGATCGGTCATCTTTGAAAAACATCCTAAACTATCTTGTTCTTTTTTCTACCATATCTTGTTTTTCCCTTACTGAGTCATCAAAGTACAATCTGTAACACAAGACAGAAATGGTGGAATTATAGTTTTTTCATCACAAGTGTTCTTTTTTTGTTACATGCTTGTAACAAAGCAACCTGTGATAACCATAACAGGTTTTTTCCATTAACAAAAATTTATCCGCGCACATTTTATTATCAAAGAGAATGTAATTTATATAAAATATTTGTTTTGTTTATTTAACTAACAGTATAAAGATGACAACAGAAGTATCAGAAGATCATGCTAAAAGCAAAGTTAGTGAAAGAGAACATATTCGTCGAACATTTTATAAAAATCCAATCAAAAAAGACAATCCTAAATTAGATCTGGATTGGAATTCGTCTCAGGAGGAAAGACGAAAATGCATGTTAGAACATCAAAAAAGGTATGTATATTATAAATAGTAATATATAAATTATTTATGCAATTAGATTTTATATTTTTTGTTAGAAGCATATGTGTGGCCATGCTCATGTAATAATAAATCTATTAAAGATCTAAAGTGTACTTGTATTAAAAACTTTTAATAATATAACATATGTTAGCTGTTAATTAGTAATGTAATGCATTTTAGTAAAACGTATCTTTTTTGATAAATTTTGTTGTCTGTACATAAATTAAATAGTATGAATGTAATAAATTCTAATAATTGTATGTTATAACATATTTAATCTAAATATAACATATCTAATAATTGTATATTATAACATATAGATGTAGAGATCAAAACTTTAATGCTGCACGTGGTATATTATCATATTTGTCTGAATTGAAATACGAAGATCAAGAAGATTGGGAAAATTGTCAAGACGAAGAAGAAGATTGTGAAGAAGATGAAGCTTATGAAGATTTTGAAGCTTATGAAGATCATGAATGTTATGAAGATTGCAAAGAAATTAAAGGATATGAAGACTACAAAAAAAGTGATCGCAATCTATATGAAAACAATACAGGAATTCACAGATATAGGAAGATGATGCTCTCAGAATGGATGGTAGTTGTTCCGGAAGACTTGGTAGAAAACTGGGTTATGATTCCGTGTCCAGTAGGGAATCGGAGGAGATTAATTTCTGGCTTGGTACTAATTTATGTTTATTGATATTTGTATGTATTGTTTTATTTGAAAATAAGTTACATGGTTAATACTAATGACCTTGCTATTATTTTTTTTAGGGTAAAACAAGGTCGTATAATAAATATGGTGTCTTGTGCGATGTCTTTAATTCAGCGCTTCCTGGTGGAAGTCTTAGTCGCTATCCAAATTCCATTCACGCTTTACAGTATGCTATTTTGGATTGTATATGGGTGAAGACAAAACAAACGTATTATGTATTAGATGTATTATTCTGGAACTCATTACCATTTACAGATTGCGAGGTAATACTGATCATAGTATAATTGTATAAATTTTTTTCACAATTTTTATCTTAACGGAAAATTGATTTCATAAAATCTGTTATTTCAGATGGATCTCAGACTATTCTGGATCAAGAGCAAACTCGCCGAAATAGAAAACTTACAAGACCGTGACACTGATACAAATACATATCCAATTTTGCCTCTCCCAAGTATCAATTGCGACTCAGATTTATCAGCGGCTTTAGAAAATCTTGATCCCAAATTGTTTCCTTTAGATGGGTTACTATTTTATCATCGTGCTGCATTGTATACCTTTATGAAAACTCCACTTGTAACGTGGCTAAAGCCTTATATGTTGCCTGAAAAACTCGGCGTATCTGTATCGCCACCGCTTGATGAGCGTCCTGATGACTATATAAATTTTGAACATTTCATAGAACGAATAAATAATGCGAAAAAATTCCAGAATCGGGAAATCATTTTTACAGATGTAAGTTCTTATACTGTGATATGATTTTATGTTTTTTTGTATCTATGTGTTAGTGTATGTGTATAAAACATATTATATATATTTGTTATTTTGCAGATTGAGAAAGAAAACACTGAAGAAATGGAAATAGACCGAAAGATGGAAACAGAAATAATAGAGATAGAAAACGAAGATGAGAAAGTAGACCAAAAAATAGAGATAGAAAACGAAGATGAGAAAGAAGACCAAAAAATAGAGATAGAAAATGAAGATGAGAAAGAAGACCAAAAAATAGAGATAGAAAATGAAAGTAAAAAACAGAAAATGGAAAAATAGAAACTAAACGGTACCTCACATCAAATTTGTATATGATCTCATGATTTCTGTAACACATAACTTTAGGATTAATTATTAACAATCTGGTCAAGTTTCTATTTGAGATAAAGATACAGATATACAGAATAATCATAAAGTCTGTTATTACTCTTATATTTTGGAAACTGTTGAAAATTATGAAAAATCGCAAAACACGTATTCAATCGCGATTCGAGAGGTTATTGTTTCAAGAGAGTTGCGGATGTTGCTCCTCCTCTCCCTCCTCTCACTCAAGGGTCAAAGAAAAAGGCCGAGAACTTTGACTTGAAATAACTCCTGAAAGACTCGACGTATCAATCTCCGGCTTGAACTAAAAGTTTTCTTTTTTTTTTATGCTCAAATGATATACTATAGTATAGGAGGTTTCCGATTTAAAGTTTTTTTTAGGAGATACTCCATGAGGTATCTTCTTAGAGGAGAGAGGGCAACATCCGTAAGCCTCTTAGAAGAGTAAGTCTCTCGAAACGATTGAATACGTGTTTAGCGATTTTTCATAATTTTGAACCGTTTCCAAAATACAAAAGACAGTAAGACAGTAGACTGTCAGAGAACGATTAAACGTACAACAAAAGTAAATGCGTTAATTTTTTAATTTTTGAAAATTGATTTTTCTGAAAACTACATCTTTCCACAAAACTCTTACATTTTTGACTTATTTTTTTCATGTAAAATTATTTTCAATTACACTATTTGTCCTATCACATAATGTCTCATTTTATTTTATAATTGGTATCGAAATAAGAGGCGTTGCTGAACAAGTTGCCAGGTAGAATGCAGATGTATTGTGTTTTTTAAAATTAATTACAGTCGTAGTCGAAACGTCTGTAATTAATTTTAAAAAACACAATACATCTTGTTCAGTAACGCCTCTTTTTTCGATACCAATTATTTATTTCTGAACCGGAAGAGGTCAACTTGACACGCAAATTCTTTTTATTTTATAAAATTAAACATTTGAAAATCACAAAGTATTAACAATTTAGGAAAAAATCATACAAAAGTGTTGTGACATCGAGAGAGAAATAAGAGGGTGTTATTGTTTTGACTTTGGATAAATTGTTTATCATCACATATATATCACATATATTATTTATCACATATATATATATATATCACATATATTATTTTATCATATTTTTATAGCTTACTTTGAAAGATTCTCAAAACATTGAAATGAAATATTTTTCCATTAAATACTATTCGAGTTACAAAGCTCGGGATTTACAACATACGGTATTGTTATTTAAGGTGCACTGCGTAGAAGTAATCGCACTCACGGACTTTACAGCTTCTTTCACGATAGCTTTTGACTTTGAACCACGTATTTTGCAGCAACATTGTTGCCATTCCGCTCAATACGGAGTCGAACTCGCTCGTTACAATTCGCCGCTGTATTCTGCAGAAAATTGCATAGAATCTCTGCCACGATACGGTGCGTGCACGCACAACCAGAAGTGTAAATTCGACCGCGCAATCTCTACGCGGTATATTATGAGTAACGTTAATGTGATACTGTAAACTTCAGGTCTTTTAAAAGCGATCCTCGCACGATCTTCAAACAAACTGTCGAAAGTCAAAGCAACGACGCTATTCCATGTCTTCCTCGAAATCGTATCACTTTTGTACGAAACATTTTTTTCTAAAACCAAGTGTGATTCTTAGATATTTGACTGTATAAAATAAAACAGAATACACTCTATATTTGTACACTTTGTATATTTAATATATGAACATTTTAGTAGTTGTCTTTTTTTTTTTACAAACAGTATAATACAATAATAGTTTGTGTTTTGTTAGGGACGCTATGTAAAATTATATAAATTATGTATTTTAATGTTACAAATAATATAATTGCTGTGAATCGAGTTAATATTATAAAGCAACAATTATTATAACAAACATTCACATATCGATGTGCAGTATGTGAAATGTATCATAAGCCTTTTCATTGTAATATATTAATATACGATCCATAGTTTCCGCATTCATCACCTTCATCTAGAAGCAAAGATTAATTTATGTATCATACATTTGTATTATACACTGATGATGTGAAGTGTTATAGAATATAAAGCACAAGTACAAACTTTGTTATTCATTATTGACAATCCTGGCAAGTTGATTCTTTGCAACGTGCAGAGTCCTAACTGCAAGCTTCCAAGTTCTCGCATCTGTGTGTGTAAAATTTCATGAAACATTTCGACGTGTTCCCGATCAATAGATAATATATTAACCACGTCCTCTTGAGTCTTGATAATCCTGCGAATTATTACAGTATAAAAATTATATAAAACAAAAAAATAAATAAAAGATGTGTTTGGATGGCCAATAAGAGCTTAAACGCAGGTAGTAATGTGTGAAATAAATTTTTCTTTTATGGAATTTTATTCCTTGTGAATTACGTTTCGATCCTGGCTTTGGATCATCTTCTTATAGAATAAACGCTTAGTCTCGGAGATGCTTTTTATCAAGAAACAATTATTGAGTCTTAATTTGCAGAGCGACGCTGATCCGTTGGATAACACTTACTTGCCTCTTATCGACAGATTTAAAAAATTTATAGTTTTTGCTCGTGTGTTGTTACTTGTGATTTTATACATAGATGACTCTGTCTGATTTGTTGTTAGCGGATTGCTCTCTGACATTTCCTTCATTTGTTGTGATCATTTGACTTTCCGTATACCGCACGAGTAACAGCTTAACTGTCATACGATCAAGATCTTAAGAAACATGTGAAAGTCATTTGACAATGTAACTTTGTTGTTAATTATTGTAAGTTTTTATTAATGTATTTATCCTGTCACGTATTTTCCATACAGGATTTTTTATCTGAAGATGATCCAAAGCTAGGATCGAAACGTAATTCACAAGGAATAAAATTCCATGAAAGAAAAATTTATCTCACACATTACTACCTGCGTTTAAGCTCTTATTGGCCATCCAAACACATCCTTTATGATTATTTAGAAAAAAATAAATGTTTTTTACGGATATTATTTTAACATTTGTACACACATACGCTGATAATATATTCCTCAGATCGGAGATATCAAATTTAACTGTTATGGTACTGGTAACTGGTAATTCTGGTACCGTGTACTCCATCTGAAGTTCGCCAGAAACTGCGGGCTCTTCGTCTCTGTTGGTAGACATAATAATAATAGGAACAAGCCATTTCAAGTCCTCTTCTGTAGCCGGCAGCGCAATTATTGAGCAGTCAAACATCTGGCTGAATATAGTGTGCACTGCATCTATACAACTACGAGTACCGCAACACAACAGGAGAGGCAATCTCACGACATTTTGTATATTTATCTCACTCTGTGTTGCACTCCAGGATAAAAGAAATCCTTTATAAATAAATTTCTCTGTATCTCTTTCATGGTCATTTGTTGTGGCGAGAACCTCGATCTACAATATAATTTTCAATAAAATTTTATAGTTTTCTCTCAAAATATCATATATATATTATACATAAAGACTTAACGCTCGTGAAATTGTCAACAGGAATCAAATAAGGCCTATACGAGCCATTCGCAGGATGTTTGTGCGGAAACTATGCGTGTACATATATATATATATATAAAT